ATTCTTTCATGGATTTTCTTCAAGCTTTATACAAATGTCAAGTATAAGTTTACCTCAGATATTGTTGTGTTTCAGGGGCATTCATGTCTTACAGACATTTTCTAGTTTAAAAACACACTATATCTCTTAGTAATGGGACTCGAGAAATTGCAATTGGGTGTAATATTAAGGTGCATGTTGGAACTGTATTCAGCGTTTAGGTGCCCATTTTGTACCATAAGGACATTTTTTACAAAACAAGTCATATCTACCATCAGTGTGTTACTTTTCCAAACAGTAGACTTCCACATAGGAAATTCAATGTGTAAGTTTTAAAATACAGGTCTGAGTAATAATAGGTAATTTTAATAAATTTGTTTCTGCCATTAAAGATTCCCTGTCCCACTGCACTGGATTTTCCTATGTAACGTAACCTGCCCTTGATTTCGCTTCGGATATAACTAATACAGTGGTGCCAACACACTACTGATGATCAGGCAGCTCAGCCAATTAAAGCAATAGTTCAACAATCTGAAGTCAAGGGTTCGAATCCCGATCTATTCACAATTATTACAATGAGAACTGTAGATTTTTATTTTTTTTAAATTTAATACATCTTTAGTATTTCTTCATGCAAGTCTCGCAAGGCTTGATTTTCTTTTTGGAAATGATTTATCAAAGCTGTGTAGTGGTTGTGCAGTTACAAATTTATGAAACATTTTGATTTATAACGGTGATTGAATGTCACGCCAGACATCTGTTTGTTATATAGTTTTTGTTTCATTTTCAGACCGTTAAATGCCTTTTGATAGTCCCTAATCCAGAATCTGCTTTGAATGAGGAGGCGGGGAAACTTTTATTGGAGCAGTATGAAGATTATTCAATGAGAGCGAAATTATATACAGACATACATGCAAAACCTCCAAAGTAAGTACGGGTATCCAAAATCAGACAAAAAGGCACCATCCCAAATTAACCCCCCAAAAAATACTCATCTGAAAAAAGTTTTGAAAGAACACTTTCGTAGATTTAAAAAAAAAACTATAACAATTAAAATATTATTTCATGATTCAGTTTATCTCATTATCTGGAAAGATATCTTGAATATAAACAAGAGATATTTGGTAATTTTACCCTTTTACATGTATGTTATGTCTATAAATAAAAGAGAGGCATTGTATTAGCAGAGGCTCTTCTAGTGAAATCTTGTTTCGACTGTAAGTCTTAAACTGTGGAAGAAATCTTATTTAATCTGACTCTCGTACAGAAGGTGCACTGCACTGAATGTAGGTCAGGACCCTTGACCTCTTACAAATAAAAGGGAGACTTTATATTAGCAAAGGCTCTTCTAGTAAAATCTTGTTTTGTCTAACTTTTAAACTGGAAGAAATCTTGATGGAGGAGAAATGAATCTAAAGTGCATACAGGTGTGCACGGCAATGAATGTAGGTCAGTGACCTTGACCTCTACATATTTCCAATAAGTGCAAATATTTACGAAATTTTGTCTGGGCTATTAATAACATGAAAATAAAACTTTAAAGGTGAATAGATTTGTTGTGGCCACAGGTGGGCCGTGTAATGTATTTAGGTTATCGTGACCTTCACCTCTAGGTCAAAGGTGAAATAATTGCAAAGTGTATATCAATTATTGCTTATAAGGGAAGACATTTGATTTTGTTCACAAAAACAAAGCTATGTGATTCATTTCTGGAATAGCTCCGGTAACAAATTATAACAATGTTGTGTTATTGAATGAACAAATATGTATGATGGTTTTAAGTCTTGCAATTCAATTATTCAGGTAAAAAGACCTTTAAAAAGTTGTGGTTTGCAAATTTGACATATTGTTAGTCCAAGGCATAATTACCCAACAACTGAGACTTGCACATCTTCTGCTAAACATTGGACATATTTTTAATATCACTTTTGTTATTTACAGAGCTTCAACAGAATCAGGTTTAACATCATCATTGAAGGGTAGCATAGAAGGACCAATGGCGAAAAAGCATGCCGGTGACAAAAAACTTATTGACAAAAAGAAAAAAGAGAAAAAGAAAGTGCTGAAGAGATTATGACACCCATTATATCTGACAGACATTATGTTTATTTTCCATGTTATTTATACATTTTGATATGTCGGCCAGACATGTCGCCTCATTCAGTTGACATTCTTCATGTTAGGACAATGCATTTGATACATATAGGACGTATCGGGTTGACATTCATTGGATATTAACCGTTGTGACAGTACGAGACACCAGCCGTGGCTAGCCCAGGGCCTACGTTCTTTATATATATATCTCAGCATCTAACTGGTGACAACGATCTGAAAGGCATTCTCTGAAAAGTTATCATTTTATGAATTTTTAATCTTGTGAAATCAACCAGTGATTTGTCTTCACTAGCACGGAAGCAAGTTTATTTGCATGTTTGATGTGCATAAAGTTCTCTTTTGTACATAGAGAAATCTTATGATGGAGATTTGTCTTTAAATCAATCATGTGTATCATAAAATCTTAATATATAATGTGAAATAAATGTACAATAAATGCAATTTTTACAAGACTGCTTGAGTGTGGTAAATTTTAAATACTTATATGTAGAAAGATGCAATTGCCATGAAGATTTTATACCAAGAACATGATCTAGAGACTCAAAAAATACTTTATGCTGGATATTAAAGAATGTGGTAGTACATTTATTTGACACAGTGTGTGTATACACTCTCTATCGATAGGCGAAACATCCCAGCTCAAGTTCAACAAACTTAATTTATATGATTGGCTTAGTTCCTGCATGTAGCCAGAAGGGCTTGTTTTGGATAGCTTTTATGCTAAAACTTAACTGCCAAAAAAGTATATGTCTGTTGGAGCTATAAATAGGCCAGAAAAACAAGATGAAGATAAGATTGTTTGAATTTCATTTAACAATAAATCAAACAACTGAAAGTTGAGAAATAAGTGTTAACAGTGATTCTGATAGTGAACCGTCTGAAATTGACATTTCATTTAATTTTGGTATTTGTTTTTCTATGCTGTTAATCTGCAACAGGAGTCTGTTCTACAGATATACTTGCGTGCATTTCATTATACATACATGGCAGCACTCGGACCAAAAGGTTAAAAGCTTGATAAAACATTTTCCGAATGGCATTAAGTATTGCCACTCAGATTCCTAGAGTCTTTCTGTTGTCTGCCCGGATTGTTTCGTACAAAGGTGTAGTTCTAGCTACTGTCATATTCTTGGTAAAAACTGTATTTATAGGTATCTTGATGAGCTGACCCAGTTAGATACGTTTTGAGGGTGTTGTAAATGTGGTTATGCAGTAAAGGATGGTAGCGGTTTCAACGCAGAGGATTTTACACCTCTCCTGCATTGTTTCGCCAGAGTTGTCCAACCAAGGATCCATAGGGTTACAGTTACAGATTTCTAGCTGTAGGTTGGTGTTGCAAACCAAACAGCTTCTCTATGCACCATCCTAATTTTCCATTATGGATTCCACATTCACAAGGATATATTCTAAGTGACATCACTACAGGGTCTTGTATACTTTGTCTTTTTTATCATGAAGACACCTGTTGATGTGATTTTCCTCGTCTGAAGTCTTCTAACAGTTAAAATTCCTATGTAACTCCATTGTATAGGGGTATTGGTGAACTATCTACAGCTTGTGTCCCATCCCATGATACTGGTTTTTTTTCCTTCATCCCTCTGGGAACAAGGCAATCCATAGTCCCCCACCAGTAATGATTTCGATATTTAAGAAACAGTACACTTATGTTAAACTTTTTCAAAAGTAATGGTCAATGGTCGCTGTGACCTAATTCTTGCACTATGCACTCCCAAGATGTCCTTCTACATCAAATCTGGTTACTCCAGTTGAATAGTATAGAAGATATGCCCTTGACAAACATTTTCAAAAGTAAAGGTCAAAGGTCAAGTCATAGGTCCCAATGACCTTATTATTGCCCTCTGCCACCAAAGATGTCCTTGTACATAAAATGTGGTTACTCCAGGTGAAATAGTCTAGAAGATGCATCCCGGACAAGCTTCTTCTTGGACGGATGGAATGCAAACCTAGCCCCCCCCTACTCCCTCCCTTAAACTAATAAGAAGAGGCCTAGAGGGCCTGTATCGCTCACCTGAATATTTAAGCAG